AGCAACAATAGAGCAAGTCACACAGGATGCTGATGTCATACAGAAATTAAATGATTTATGTGCATGTTTAACAATACATACACACACTCATCTGCATGCATATGTATTTCATGTATGTATGTGTACATAAACACAGCAAACCATTAAAAATCTAAATTAATGTAAATGACAATTAAATAAATGAATACAAATAAATCATAGGAATGGGAACTGCCTGCCAATATATATCGATATACTTATATTGCATTCTTCGAGATCGATTATTTTAAATATTTCAAGACTTCTGTGTATACACAAATATTATGTTAATAATGTACATACATACTTATGCATAAATATGTATGCATTTATCGCTGCTTTCGATCTTTTCCGATTGTTTCAGGACGAACTTTCTAATCACATATAAAGTTGCAGCTGCTGAAGTCACATACCAACGCATTTGCATTCGTATGTACATAAGCATGAAAGCCACACGAATGTAAATGCACATTCAACACACATACATAAATATAGCTCGTTAAATGCTTTGCAAACGTAATTTATATATTTAAAAAAAAGGAAACAAAATAGAAAAGAAAACTGGCTTTAAAACCACTGTGCGGTGACGAAGCATCGACCAATGAGTGTTCGCATGTGTGTGTGTGTGTGTGTTTGAGTTTGGGGAGGGAGATGTAGGTTTGGTGAGTTAAGCAAGACGCGAAAGCACAAGCGCCCGCATTCTCTCGGCTGCCTTTCGTGTCCGTTACTATGTGTGTATGTATGTTTGCGTGCACATGCCTGTATGTGTGTGTGCCTGTGGTGAGCTTAGGCTTGCCTTGGCTAAGGCGAATTGTTGCGTGCGACGCCGACGCGAACAGAGTCCTGCTACTGCTGCTGTCGTTGTTGCTGCTACGCTGCTGCTGCTGCTTTTTGTGAGCTTTTTTCCTTAGTCTGCCTTTGTATGGGTGCACGCAACACTAAAAGTCAATTGACCCGAAACTGTTGTATATGTAAATATGTACATACATACATACATTCGCTATGTATATGTAAACAACGAATGCAGCACTGCTGGCAGATTTTCATTCTTTTTTTATACACATACATATGTATGTATTTTAAATTCACTTACAGGTACATAGACAAGTACATACATACATACATACGTAAATTTGTATGTAAGTATAAGTGTGCATGTACTCTCACAGAGTTTGTTTTTTTGCTTACTTTTTTTAGATCCGTACAAATCACACACAAAAATCTGTGCTGCCTTTACTAATGTTTTCTTTTTTGTGTTTTGTCTTAACATATGTGCGTTTGTGTGTGTGCATGCATGTACATATCTATGTATGTATGTGTGTACGAAATGTATTTCTTAAACGAATTCAGTACTTTTAGTTGGTGGTCGTTGTTGTTGTAGCAGTTGCTCCCGCTATTATTAGCGCAATGTGAGTACAAAAACAAAAGAAAGCAGCAACAACAACAGCAGTCGCCGTTTCGAATTTTTTGTTTTGTTCTCTATTGTATTTGATATTCCGCAATTGTTGCTGTTGCCGTTATGCTTGTTGTTTTTGCTGTAGCTGCTGCTGCTGCTGTTGTTGTTGTTGTTGTTGGTGCGCTGTCTCATGCTTTACTTTTCAATCTATTTATGCTTTATTTTTATTTTCATTTTTCTTTCAATTATTTTGCACACACAATATATCATTCGCCATCTCTTTCGCACTCCACTCTGTTAAGTTCCCACGCATGAATTCATTAAGCAGCAACGGCATCAGCTGCACCATGCACTCTATATTTGCCGCCAGTGTCAGCAATTGTCAGCAAAGAGCGTAAATTGCTAATTGTTGTAATATGCATGTAATTAACTTATGTGCAATTTTCACCTGTAAACTGGTAAACTGCGCTCTCTGTCTCTCTCTCTCCATCTCTTTGTTTATTTTGCAAATGCAATTTACATCAAATTCTATGCATAGCTGTTGCGACCTCTGCCCCGACTCGACTCGTATATCAAATTTACATCGGACTAAACTTGATTAAAGTTCCATTTGTTGCGTACACAAACTAAGAAAGCAAACCGGTTAATGGGTTAATCGGTTAACCGCTTTAATCAAGCAAACAATGAATGCAGTTTGCAGCACAATTGAGTGAACGAAAAGAATGATTTTAATGTGCAAACCATTAATTAAAATTTAATGAGTCCTTTAATTATCTTTCCTTTGGCAATAATAAATCAAATAATTATTTTGTAAATAATAGCAATATTTTATTATGCAGTTACTTTAAGTCATTAACTTAATACATTTAGCTTCGCATTCTGATTGGAGATTCGAATTCTAATTTGTCAAGGCGAACTCCTACATATTTCAATTATATGTACCAAATCGCTAGACAGTTTTATGACATTACAATCAACAATCAGCAGAGTTAGTCGACTGGCATATATGTATATATATATATTATACCTATATATTCATTTATATTTTGATAGTTTGTCAATTATCAGAAACACTTAGTCAGCGTAAAGATCTAGTAGAGCTGATATGGGAACAGCTTTTACTAAATTAATGGGAAACGTTTTAAAAAACAATAATTGAATTTTCACTAGATAATTCAAGATAGTGCTAACATTTATTGTTTATTGTCTATCGACATCAAGTATAGAGAATGAAAACGCAATATAGTAAGCTAAGATATAGAGAAATTCTATATCCTTCATTTATAATGAATAATGACAAAATAAGTGTATAAAGACACTCGAATGCAAAGCACTTATAGTCGATATTTATCGATTAACGTACACGTTACTTTTGATTTATATGAAGCATTAAAAGATAACTTAAATAATCCAACTTTTCGATTATTTTATAAAACAAACAGACGTTCCATATTTATCGATTTACGCCAATTTAAAAAAAAATGTATGAATAGTAAGCATAATAAACTTTTTGACATCGAATTTACGTTTCAAGATACCCCGTAATTTGCATTCATATTTTATAGGCCTGCATTCAATGCCAAGCGGCAGTTCTATTCTAATTCCATGACTTTTTTTTGAGTTTCAATCAAATCGAATTGCAGATTTCGGAGTGCATTTTGAGTTTTTGAAAGTTGACTCAAAGCCACTGATGCAATGTGCATATGTATTTATGTATGTACATATGCATGTTTGAATTACGTGCAATTGAAAACAAACAAACAAAAATAAATAAATAAAAAATCCATTTAGCTAACCGGGTCATCAGCTAGCGTTGATGCGGGCCAGCGATTGTGTGTCGCATTAGCGATTAAAGCCAACGGGAATTATAAAAATGCATCACACATCAAAATGCATTTTTCTCGAAAGAGAAAACATACAAACAGAAAGGAAAAATGAAGAAAAGGAAAACCTTGAAGAGATGTCCATGCAAATACACACACACACACACACACACACACACACACACACACACACACACAC